GATTCGAGTCGAGTTTTGCTGATCTGTTAGATAGCTCATTGATGGCTCTGAGATACCATGAGATGGCGGATAGGCGCAAAGATGGAAAATAAATGCAATCTTTCCTTAATTGGGGGTAATTTTGACACGTCTTTGGTAATTTAGCCATAACTTTGGCTACAGTTATCAGAATTGCTATTATGACCCCAATCCGGAAAGCTCTCTTCGGCACGCACGTCATGGCTACCTAGCTATGCTCGATGGGCTTCAATTTTGAGCACAAAATCTACTATTTTCCTTTTCGAAATTTAATTTTTAGTTATTTTTTACTATTTATGGTAATATTTCATTTCCTTTTTTCTAGACATTAGAGAATCCAAAATCCGCCATGTAGACCTCGATTTCAGAGTGGATCTGTCAAAGTTTTCTAGACGTTACAGGTTGAAGGTTTTATTGATTGGCTGAATGAAGTGGAGCGAATTTTTGAGTATAAAGAGGTCCCAGATCGTGTCAAGGTAAAATTGGTCGTTTCAAACTTAAGGGAAGAGCTTCAGCATGGTGGGAACAATTGAGGAGTTCGCGAGAACGGCAAGGCAAGTCTAAGATCTCTGATTAGAAGAAGATGAAGAAAAAGATGAAAGGGCACTATCTTCCTTTTGGCTACACTCAGTCTTTATTTCAGCGGCTCCATTCACTAAGGCAAAGTACAAGATCTGTTGATGATTATACGGAGGAGTTCTATCAATTGGTAGCTCGAAACGATTTATCTAAAACGGAAGAACAGATGGTTGCACAGTATATGGGAGGATTAAGGCAGCCCCTACAGGATGTTCTAAGCCTTCATTAATTGTGGACAATGTCTGAAGCATACCAGCATGCACTTGCCGTGGAAAGGCAGCAAAATAGGAAGCCAGTGGTCAGAAGTGAAAGTAGTCAGCCAGTTCGACCTCAAGCATCTCATCCTACCTATCAGCCCCGACGAGACAATCCTAACTCAGGCATTAAGTGCTTCAGATGTGGTGAACAGGGACATATGGCGACTGATTGCAGGAAGCCGATTGGTCGGAAGAATAATCTTCTAATTGAAGAGGATATAGAGCATATCGAGGGGTTGGAGAGCCTATATATAAGGAATGTGAAGATGAGAATGTGCTGTATGGAGAAGGCCAGGAGACTCTAGTCATTCGCAAGAGTTTGCTGACTCCCAAGGACGATTCAAGGGACGATTGGTTGGGGACCAATGTTTTTCACACAACCTGTACAGTTGTCGATAAAGTTTGTAAGTTGATCATTGATAGTGGCAGTTGTGAAAATGTAGTGTCTGAAGAGGCTATCCAGAAACTACAGCTGAAGACAGATTGTCATCCCAAGCCATACAAATTATCGTGGTTGAATAAGGCAGTGAGGTAACAGTAGAGAAACAGTGTCTACCGTCTTTTTCAATCGGAAAAAAATATTTTGATAATGCTTGGTGTGATATGGTATCTATGGATGCATGTCATGTATTGTTGGGACGACCAAGGCAGTACGATTGTAGCATTATTCATGATGGAAGGAAAAATACTTATTCCCTTACCATCAAAGGAAAGAAAATTGTTTTGGCACCTCGTAGGAAAGAAACCACCCCTACCCCAGTAATTAATAACAACAACCTGCTTTCTATGTCCAGATTCTTAGTAAAGGTTGGGAGTGGAGAAGTGATATATGCTCTACTGCCCCGTGAGAACAGTGAAGTGAAGGAGGACTCGAATTTACCAGCAGAAGTGCAACAGCTACTAATGGAGTTTTCTAACTTGATGCCTACTAATGGAGTTTTCTAACTTGATGCCAGAGGATCTTCCTCCAGGGTTACCACCTATGAGGGATATTTAAAATCAGATCGACCTTATTCTGGGGTCGAGTCTGCCAAATTGACCAACATATCGTCTCAGTCCCAAGGAAGCTAAAGAGTTGTAGCGATAGGTTGTAGAATTATTGGAGAGGGGATACATTCGTGAGAGTATGAGTCCATGTGCAGTTCCTGCTCTACTAGTATCGAAGAAAGATGGGTCGTGACGGATGTGTGTTGACAGCAGAGCAATTTATAGGATTACAGTAAAGTACAAGTTTCCAATTCTTCGTCTGGATGACATGTTAGATCAGTTGTCCGGTTCTAAGGTCTTCTAAAAAATTGACCTTAAAAGTGAATACCATCAAATTAGAATCAGATCTGGAGATGAGTGGAAGAAGGCGTTTAAGAAACAGCATGGATTGTATGAGTAGATGGTCATGCCCTTTGGACTATCCAACACGCCCAGTACTTTTATGAGGTTTATGCATCAGGTTTTACGACCTTCCATGGAAAAGTTTGTGGTAGTCTACTTTGATGACATACTTATTTATAGTCCAACGTGCGAGTCACATTTTGATCATTTTCGTGCTATTTTTGATGTAATGAGGACGGAGCGCTTATTTATCAATCAGAATAAGTGTTCTTTCTTCACAACTTCTGTAGCTTTTTTGGGTTTTGTTGTGTCTACTGATGGTGTTCGTGCAGATTAATCCAAAATTGAGGCAGTCTTGAATTGGCCCAAGCCAAAAAGTTTACACGATGTCCAAAGTTTCCATGGATTGGCATCCTTCTACCGTCGGTTCATCAGAAATTCCAGCACTCTGATTGCTCCTATCACAGAGTGCCTTAAAGGACGTGATTTTCAGTGGACTGGGGAGGTAGAGGCCAGCTTTCAATTGGTTAAGCAGAAGATGACAGAGGCCCCAGTCCTGGCACTCCCAGATTTTGAGAAAGTATTCGAAGTAAACTGTGATGCGTCTGGAGTTGGCATTGGTGGTGTTCTGAGTCAGGAAGGGCGTCCAGTAGCATTTTTCAATGAAAAGCTGTCAGGATAAAAAAAATTATTCAACCTATGATCTGGAGTTCTATGCCATAGTTTAGACTTTAAAGCATTGGCCTCATTACTTGGTACGGAGGGAGTTCATCCTTGTTACTGATCATGAGGCCTTGAAGTACATCAATGGTCAGCACAAGTTGAGTAGGTGAAATGTAAAGCGGGTGGCGTACTTGCAGAAGTTTACATTTATGCTATGGCATCAAACAGGGAATTTGAATCGAGTAGTAGATGCATTGAGCCGTCGCACATTACTCCTCACCACCATGAGCACCAGAGTTGTTGGCTTTGAAGCATTTCCTGATATGTATGCTATAGATCCTTCCTTCGGGAAGATAATTTAGGAGGTAAATGATAATCACCGACATAATTTTATTTTGCATAATGGTTATCTGTTTCGTGGATTGCAGTTGTGCATTCTAGGCTATTCACTAAGGTAGCAGATCATTAGTGAGCTTCATAATGAGGGACATTTTGGGCGAGATAAGACATTGGCGTTGGTCTCTTCTGATTATTATTGGCCCAAATTGAACAGTGACGTAGCGCATTATGTGGAACGATGTTTTAAATGTTAGAAGTCCAAAGGAGCTCATACTAATGCTGGACTCTACACGCCATTACCTATACCCGAGGCTTCTTGGTTTGATGTGAGCATGGATTTTATATTGGGCTTACCCCGTACACAACGGGTGATGGATTCCATTCTTGTTGTGGTTGACAGATTTTCAAAGATGGCTCATTTTGTGGCATGCCAGAAGACTATGGATGCTACTCAGATTGCCCAACTTTATTTCAAGAAAATTGTGCATCTACATGGTGTTCCCCAATCAATCACTTCTGACCATGACACCAAGTTCATGAGTCATTTCTGGAGGAGCTTGTAGGAGAAACTGGGGACGAAGTTGAATTTTAGTAGCGCCCCAAACAGATGGTNAACCATCCAGAGTACTTGACTTAGCTTCTATCCCATGTGTGGGGTGTTTCAATCACAAGGCTGATGAGATGGTAAAACATCTTTGTGGTATCCATGAACATGTGAAGTTGTCCATTCAGGAGAGTAATTCCAAGTACTAGGCTTAGGCAGATAGTCATCGTCGTCAGGTGCTCTTTGATGTTGGTGATCTTGTGTGGGCAGTATTAACACATAGTCGTTTTCCAGCTGGGGAGTATAATAAGCTTAAGGAGCGAAAGATTGGACCATGTGAAGTGCTTCAAAAGATCAATGATAATGCTTACATGTTGCGTCTTCCCAACCATTTGAAGACTCCCAATGTCTTCAATGTGAAACATCTAAGTCCATGATTTGTGGAGTCTGATGAAGCTAATGTGAACTCGATGGTGAGTTCTCTCCAACCTGGGGCGACTGGTGCAGGAGGATCCGAGTCGAGTAATGCTGATCTGTCAGATAGTTCGTTGATGACGCTGAGATACCATGAGATGGCGGATAGACGCAAAGATGGAAAATAAATGCAATCTTTCCGTAATTGGGGTAATTTTGACACGTCTTTGGTAATTTGGTGATAACTTTGGCTACGGTTATTAGAATCGCTATTTTGAGCCCGAAATCTGCTGTTTTCCTTTCCGAAATTCAATTTTTAGTTATTTTTTCCTATTTATGGTAATATTTCGTTTCCCTTTTTCTAGACGTTAGAGAATCCAAATTGAGCAAAATTTTTGGCAACTTACTTATTTTATTTCATATTTTATTTTGGTGTGATCGTTAGAATTTTGCTATTTTTGGTAATTTTTTGATAATTCGGTATTTTCAGCTATTTAACTCGGCTTGTGGGTTAATTTTTGTCATTCTTGATTATTAATAATATCGAGTGAAGTTTTCAAAGAATTCTCTTTGTTTTTGGCATTTCTTTCTTCTTCTTCTTTCTTACGAATCGTCTGTTGCAACTAGCCTATAGGATAATCGCTATCCTACCCGGTGTCAAATATATTTTTTATCTTATTATTATTATTACTACTTTTTTTTGTTATTATTTTGTTACTTGTTTTTGAGTGGTTGACTTGATGTCTGCAATGGTTATCAGTTGTATATTTATATTGAGGAAGTCCAGTGATGTAAATTTATTTCTGGAAGATTATATAGTATAATTGAAGTTGGTGTTCTCCCTGTGGATGAAAGGATTTGCATCAGTTTCGTTAGTTCGAGGATGGTGTAGATGTCATTTCTGAGCACGAGGTCTGTAATTTGGGCCACCCATCTGTTTCATATGAGCTCTTACAGTTAGGAGGTGCAACTCTCTGTCCTGAAGATCCGGTGCCTTCTGTTGATGATTTAACCGATTAGATTCTCGAGGTTCTATGTTTCTTCAAATTGAACCCCAAATATGGATTTGCTCAAGCATAGAATGAGGGTTTTTATGATGATTTTGCATATTTACAGCCAGAATCTTATCGGTTCTGAGAGTTGGGAAATTGATTTTTCCTATGAGTCACGAATGAATAAATAAGAATGAACAAAATGACGTATCTGATAAAATTCCGAGTAATAACACCAGGGATCTCTACCTCTGGACATTGGAAAATTGGCAATAGGATATGGAATGGTAGTTTTTCATATGTGGTAAAATTTGTTTCAGTTATAGATCAAATGAAGCGTTAGGATTCCATATTTATGTTCAATTTTCTTCATTGTTAGGTACCCATGTTCATTGCTGAAATTGCTTCTAAAAATTCACGAGCTTTGAAAACCATAAACCAGGTAAAGAACTCCTTTATTACATATAATATCAGTACTTGGTGATATTTTGAATCTTGAATATGCTTATGGATAATCAATTATGATGCTGAATTATGGTTTAATCTCATTCTGTTGTGTTTACCTGGATATTTGAAATCAAGTGTATGAATTGTTTATTCTTTCCCAGGCTATAGCTAAGAAATTGGCAGAGCTTAGTGGGAAGAGGGACAATAACCATTGGAGGCGTGACTCTGTTGCTACTATGGAAATGGTGGTGTGAGCTTAGGGCTTCTTAATGGAAAACCCTTACCTGGTGTTCTTGCCCTTAATGGGGCCTAAATAGTGTTTTTCTTTGTCATGACTTGCCTCCAACCAGACTACGGAATAAACTTGACCTATGGAATGATCATGTACATGTAGGGAAGATAAGCCGTGAACATGGTTCACTTATGGTAAACGTGAAAGAGGTTTATGCATTTGAGCAAGAATTACTTGTGCATATTGTCCTTCTTTTCCATTTATGGAGTTTCATAATGCATGAAACTGCTAGCGGGCTTCAGTAACGCCTTTCACATTTTCTAAAGATAATTGGATCATATCTAGGTCTCTTGAAAAACTTAGTTGGATCATTGTGATTTATTTGATCCTGAATTACTATTGAATTTAATGACTTTAGTTTATAAGGGTGAAAAATGTGATTTGTTTGTTTGTGTGTGCTCTGTTCTAAATAGCATGTCAAGGCGTGCTAAGGCGTGAGGCCATGGCGCACTAAGGTGTGAGGCGTGGCCTTACCATGCTAAGGCCAAGGCGCCTTATATGGTGGTCAACTGCGTTTGTTGACTACCCATTATAGGTCCTGGATCACAAATATTATATGTTACAACTTATTAAAAGTGACAAATTATTAATTTTTTAGGTTAAACGTTGTTCTTTGGTCACAATTTATCTTTCTTACTGATCACATTAGTTGCAGATTAACCAATTTAATTGTCACGATTAACCAATTAATCTGTGACCATCATCAAACAACCACTGCCTCCAACATCACCAACGCCACTGTCACAGCCAGAACCACTACCACCATCACCCCTACTACAACACTATCGTCTCAAACAAAATCAACACACCACTATCACACACCGCCACACCACACCACCCCTCCCCCCACACCATCACCCTACAGCAACACCCCCACACCACCATAACCACCAACAACATAGCCTAACAATGCTACCACTACCCAAAATCACTGTACGACCACCACAAAACACCATAACTATAAAAAAACTACTGCATCACACACCACCAATTGCACCCGGATTTGAACCTGTATACCACTGTTTGCCACTACCAACACCAGATTTCTCTAATGAGCAGCAGTTGCGCCTCCCAACCTACCAATTCGACGTCGCCACCACCATTACCATACACAGCCTCTGTCAAATCTTCCACCTCTCGCCAATGAATAACCAACACCACGCCCTCATACCTCAAATCAATAACCTAGCCAGGGACGAAGTCGCCCTACAATATTCACATCGCAAGGTGTGACATGCCGTAGTCGCTGTTGCTTCACTCTGGTTACCTGACAACCCGGCAATAGCTGCGATCTGAGGGAAGAGAGTTCGATGGTGGAGAGAATGGAGAGGAGACGAGAGGAGATGAGAGAAAAATGATTTAAGGGTTTGAAAATATTGATTTATAATAATATTTTTAATATTATTAATTTATAATAATTAAAATAATATCTAATTTGAGAATATATAAACTTTGGATCTAGTGATGTCAATGGGCCGAGTGGTTCGTTGATTTTGAGCGAGCTCGGCTCGGCCCACAAGCTCGTGGCTCGTCCGAGCTCTTGGGCTGAGCCGAGCTTTGGTTTTCGAGCTCGTCATTTTATTTTTATTTTTTAAATAGAGAAAAACACAAATAATGTAATGAAAATACTTTTTAAAAAAATAAAAAGTGTTAAAAAAATATAAATAATTT